GACCAATGTTTAAACAAGCGCCAGAGCTCTCCTAATTGACGGATTCGAATTTTTCAAAAAAAGTTTGAAAGCCTGAGAGCCCTTCTATATGTGATTAAATTTTCAAGTATCTAAGGGCCTTGGTTTTTGCTGTGCAAAATTTTGAAAATTGCAATTTTTTTTTTCAAAATCTGGATTGCTAAATTATTATGCAAAATCTGTCGAACCGATTTTGACGAAATTTGGTGTGATAATTCTACGTAACAAAGTTTTTTTGAGCCATGTATAAAGGTCCTATACCCAATTTAAATACCCCAAAAAAATCCCTAAAAAGTATTGTTTTTTAACCGCAATTTTGCGATTTTTTCGATTTTTACCATAATAATCATGATTCATTCGATTTGTAACTATCCTCCGCGATCGGAATTATAAAGAGTGACTAAGACATAATATAAAAACACTATTACCATAATGCGTATAAAATATAAAATGATTTTTATACGGTTCAATATTATTTATCTTTGTGCCGCTCACTGCGCACATCGATAAAATCTATAATCGTCTAGAGACCAAGTTACACTGAACGTCGATCTATTGAGATAAACCTGTTGAGATAAATCAAAAATTTGAGGTTTAAATATTATAAGTAAAAATTAACAAATGTCAAATAAGGACAGAGTGAAGATGATGGCAGATAAAAATTCAATATTAGGTTAAAAAAATTTGATAATGTAAATAAAAATAAAAATATTAAACAATAATTCAGGGAAATTAATATAAAATTTGTCAGTAGAATGTTAGAAAAGAAAATAATAGATAATAAAGTGTAAAGTGAAGTGAAGGTGTAAGGACCTTAAGGAATAGTGAGGATCAAGGAAAAAACAAAAGAAGGAGGAAAAAGGAAATTAGTTACAAAATAAAAAAAAAAGAAGGAGTGAGGAGAGTAAAATTTGAGGAATTTAAAAAGTTGGAAATAAGTGGAGCAGGATAGTTAAATCAAAAGGAAATTTGTATTACATGCAAGTATATGCATAGAGGAGCCTCCAGAGGCGAGGATAGAGTGAGGTTGGTGCAGGAAAGTGAACTTCAGGTATCCAGTTTGTTGGAATTGTGAGAGGAGGAACTACTTAAAAAAAAAGTACTTCCAGTAATTTGATTTGTATTCTGAAAGTCTATCAGGGTGTCAAAGATAAGTTGAAAGTTTGANTCTATTATTAACCACACATTCTATCACTGTTTGCAAATAAGCATCATGTTTTGTTGTTTTCCTGATTAATTCGTTATTTATTGGCCAATCACTCTTGTTAGTAGTATAGTTCACATAACTTACTTGTTCATCCTCAGTTTCCTCTGTGCACTTCAAAGGCACCCTTGAAAAGTAGTCAGCTATCATGTTGTTCTTGCCTTTTATGTGTTCTATGGTGTAGTTGAATCCCGACAGATATGCTGCCCAACGTTGCAGTCTGTTTTCATACATCTTGGGAATACCTTTGTGTTCACCAAATAGTGTTATGAGTGGTTTGTGGTCTGTCCGTAATATGAAACGTCGTCCCATGAGGAACTGTGAGCACTTCACCGTACCCCAGTACAGTGCCAAGGCTTCTTTATGAATCGTGCTGTATTTTGCTTCAGCGGGCTGTAATGTCCTCGAGTAGCAGGCTATGGGACGCTCTCCATCAGGCATCTGGTGTGACAGTATTGCGGCAATGCCATAGTCGGAGCTGTCTGTGGTGAGAATTAAAGGTAAGTTGGGGTTAAAATGAGTTAACACAAGATCAGACGCAATTAATTTCTTGATTCTCTCAAAAGACCTTTCACAATCGTCTGACCACTCGAATATCCTGTCTTGTTTCAACAAACTATATATGGGTCTCATAATATGTGCAAAATTAGGTATGAATTTGCTATAAAAATTTAATACACCTAGTAATGACCTTGTTTCTTTTATGTTTTCTGGCTGTCTTGCCTCTAAAATGGCTTTAACTTTACTCTCTGATTTTCTTAACCCTTCCTTGGATATATTATGACCCAAATACTCTAAGGTGTCTTTAAAGAATTCACACTTTGAAAGTTTAACAGTCAAACCAGCGTCTCTCAAGATCATTAATACCTTTTTTAAAGTTTGTAAGTGTTCTGATCTGTTTCTACCCGTTATTAAGATATCATCTAGATAAATACAGACATTTTCTACACCTTGGAATATCTGTTCTATGTATTTTTGGAACTTACCGCTAGCTGGGGCGATGCCATATGGCATTCTATTAATGTGAAACAGACCCTTATGCGTGCTCCACGTGAGCAGCTTTCGTGCTTCGTCGTCCAGAAGAAACTGCATGTATGCTGAACAGAGATCCAGCTTAGTGAACTTCTCGCCTCCATGAAGCTTAGCAAATAACTCTTCGATAAGTGGTAAGGGATAAGTCTCCTCCATCAAATATCGGTTTACGGTCGACTTATAGTCGCCACAGATGCGTATGCGTCCATCCTTCTTTATTATTGGCACTAATGGAGTGGCGTAGTCACTATGTTGAGCGGGCGTCAATATTCCTTGTCGCACCATCTTGTTCAACTCATCCTCCATCTCCTTCTTATAAGCCAAGGGAATCGACCTGGGTTTCAGAAAGACAGGTTTAGCGTCAGGTTTCAATTTTAGTGAGATCTTAGCATATTTAAAAGTACCTATTTTGTCAGAAAAAACTCGTGGATACTTATTTATCAATGATCTGACATCAGCATCCACCCGATCGCTGCTTAAATTATTAATCATTCGTAACTCTAACTTGAATTTATTCATGAAATCACGACCTAGTATGAGAGGACCACCATTAGCTATTACATAAAACCTTACAAAATTACACATGCCGTTATAACAAACATCTACATTAAAATACCCTAACGGATTAAAACTAGTTCCATTATAAGTCTTTAAAATCATATTGTCCTTTTCGAGCCTATAACCACTAAAATCTCTTTCGTACATACTAGCACTAGTACAGGACACGGAGCTACCAGAGTCAAACATCGCGCTATATTCCTTATCATTAATGCCAATGGCTAGCATCAATGGATTGTCTAAGACCTTTTTGCTTGAACTATTGTTAAATAAAGTCATTTCTATTTGTTCGGTTTCCTCACGATTGATGTTGGTTACATACCTGCTTTCTTCCATGTAATTTAAGTTGCTTTTCTTTCTACAGACCTTAGATAAATGGCCCTTAACACCACACGTTCTGCAGATGTATTCCCTGTAGTTGCACCTTCCTGCATGAGAGACTCCGCACACTCGGCAATTTCTTCTAACCTCTCCTGTCACCTTGCGACCATAGTTGGCGCTGTTGCTACTTCCTCCTCCCGGCCTTGACATTTGTCTTCCGTTGCGATGGGCGTGTTCCGTTCGACGGGAAGTGTCGCCCTGCCGTTCAACTGCCGATCCTGCGCCTTGGTGTCGAAACTGCCGCTGCTGCTGTTCTCTAATACCTGAACTATTCCCTTTGCCTGGTCTCGCCTTTCCTCCGATAAAATTTAAATCTCCTTCACCACTACTGCTCCTTTCTTTATCACCTCGTTGGATCTTCATGTTTTCACGCTGGATGGCTAGGTTTTTTAATTTGTCCAGCCCTTCATCAACCTTCTCTTCACACAATCGGTCAAAAACTTCGCCCTTTCTTAACCCCGTTATAAATTTATCTTTCACAATGTCCGTCAACGTATTGTTGAACCCACAATTTACCGCCAAACTGCACACACGTGCGTACCATGCTGCTACGTTCTCTCCGCCATCTTGTTTGGCTTCGTAAAATTTTTTCCTTTCTCTCCACGCACTCACTTGCGGACAAAAATGTTTGTTTAAAATGGCACACAACTCCGCATAGGTTTTGTCTTTGGGTAAGTACGGGTTGCACAGACTTCTCAGTAATAAGTATGTGGTTGGTCCCACTACACTTAATAGATTTGCGACCTTTAATGGTTCAGCGGTGATTCCATTAGCGATGAAGTACTGTTCCAGTCGTTCGCTATATACTGTCCAGTCACCATCGTGGTCAAATTCTGGCACTTGCACTCTTACACTAGTCGCCATCTTTTTTTTTTCGTAGCCGTCCTTTTTACTTTAATCCTCGTCGCCAAGTTGTAGTGTTCTTCGATCGGGANCGGCGGCCTTCAACAGGGGACAGTACACTGGTGCTGTCTTCCTGGACGTCGCAAAGGCCTTCGATACGTTTTGACATGAAGGCCTACTGATGAAAATGTTCACCAACCAATATCCCATATCCTTTACCAAACTCATAAAATCCTACCTACACCACGGAAAATTCCGCATCCAAATCCAAGATTCCCTTTCCACCACCCATTCCATGGTGGCCGGTGTCCCCCAGGGCACCGTCCTGTCCCCACACCTATACACCATTTACAACTCCGACATCCCACATCCCCCCAACACCAACATATACTTATACGCCGACGACCTGACAATCACATCCCAATCCGTAGATCCTAGATATTCCGTCTNCATCTTGGGAATACCTTTGTGTTCACCAAATAGTGTTATGAGTGGTTTGTGGTCTGTCCGTAATATGAAACGTCGTCCCATGAGGAACTGTGAGCACTTCACCGTACCCCAGTACAGTGCCAAGGCTTCTTTATGAATCGTGCTGTATTTTGCTTCAGCGGGCTGTAATGTCCTCGAGTAGCAGGCTATGGGACGCTCTCCATCAGGCATCTGGTGTGACAGTATTGCGGCAATGCCATAGTCGGAGCTGTCTGTGGTGAGAATTAAAGGTAAGTTGGGGTTAAAATGAGTTAACACAAGATCAGACGCAATTAATTTCTTGATTCTCTCAAAAGACCTTTCACAATCGTCTGACCACTCGAATATCCTGTCTTGTTTCAACAAACTATATATGGGTCTCATAATATGTGCAAAATTAGGTATGAATTTGCTATAAAAATTTAATACACCTAGTAATGACCTTGTTTCTTTTATGTTTTCTGGCTGTCTTGCCTCTAAAATGGCTTTAACTTTACTCTCTGATTTTCTTAACCCTTCCTTGGATATATTATGACCCAAATACTCTAAGGTGTCTTTAAAGAATTCACACTTTGAAAGTTTAACAGTCAAACCAGCGTCTCTCAAGATCATTAATACCTTTTTTAAAGTTTGTAAGTGTTCTGATCTGTTTCTACCCGTTATTAAGATATCATCTAGATAAATACAGACATTTTCTACACCTTGGAATATCTGTTCTATGTATTTTTGGAACTTACCGCTAGCTGGGGCGATGCCATATGGCATTCTATTAATGTGAAACAGACCCTTATGCGTGCTCCACGTGAGCAGCTTTCGTGCTTCGTCGTCCAGAAGAAACTGCATGTATGCTGAACAGAGATCCAGCTTAGTGAACTTCTCGCCTCCATGAAGCTTAGCAAATAACTCTTCGATAAGTGGTAAGGGATAAGTCTCCTCCATCAAATATCGGTTTACGGTCGACTTATAGTCGCCACAGATGCGTATGCGTCCATCCTTCTTTATTATTGGCACTAATGGAGTGGCGTAGTCACTATGTTGAGCGGGCGTCAATATTCCTTGTCGCACCATCTTGTTCAGCTCATCCTCCATCTCCTTCTTATAAGCCAAGGGAATCGACCTGGGTTTCAGAAAGACAGGTTTAGCGTCAGGTTTCAATTTTAGTGAGATCTTAGCATATTTAAAAGTACCTATTTTGTCAGAAAAAACTCGTGGATACTTATTTATCAATGATCTGACATCAGCATCCACCCGATCGCTGCTTAAATTATTAATCATTCGTAACTCTAACTTGAATTTATTCATGAAATCACGACCTAGTATGAGAGGACCACCATTAGCTATTACATAAAACCTTACAAAATTACACATACCGTTATAACAAACATCTACATTAAAATACCCTAACGGATTAAAACTAGTTCCATTATAAGTCTTTAAAATCATATTGTCCTTCTTGAGCCTATAACCACTAAAATCTCTTTCGTACATACTAGCACTAGTACAGGACACGGAGCTACCAGAGTCAAACATCGCGCTATATTCCTTATCATTAATGCCAATGGTTAGCATCAATGGATTGTCTAAGACCTTTTTGTTTGAACTATTGTTAAATAAAGTTATTTCTATTTGTTCGGCTTCCTCACGATTGATGTTGGTTACATACCTGCTTTCTTCCATGTAATTTAAGTTGCTTTTTTTCTACAGACCTTGGATAAATGGCCCTTAACACCACACGTTCTGCAGATGTATTCCCTGTAGTTGCACCTTCCTGCACGAGAGACTCCACACACTCGGCAATTTCTTCTAACCTCTCCTGTCTTACCTTGCGACTATAGTTGGCGCTGTTGCTACTTCCTCCTCCCGGCCTTGACATTTGTCTTCCGTTGCGATGGACGTGTTCCGTTCGATGGGAAGTGTCGCCCTGCCGTTCAACTGCCGATCCTGCGCCTTGGTGTCGAAACTGCCGCTGCTGCTGTTCTCTAATACCTGGACTATTCCCTTTGCCTGGTCTCGCCTTTCCTCCGATAAAATTTAAATCTCCTTCACCACTACTGCTCCTTTCTTTATCACCTCGTTGGATCTTCATGTTTTCACGCTGGATGGCTAGGTTTTTTAATTTGTCCAGTCCTTCATCCACCTTCTCTTCACACAATCGGTCAAAAACTTCGCCTTTTCTTAACCCCGTTATAAATTTATCTTTCACAATGTCCGTCAACGTATTGTTGAACCCACAATTTACCGCCAAACTGCACACACGTGCGTACCATGCTGCTACGTTCTCTCCGCCATCTTGTTTGGCTTCGTAAAATTTTTTTCTTTCTCTCCACGCACTCAATTGCGGACAAAAATGTTTGTTTAAAATGGCACACAACTCCGCATAGGTTTTGTCTTTGGATAAGTTCGGGTTGCACAGACTTCTCAGTAATAAGTATGTGGTTGGTCCCACTACACTTAATAGATTTGCGACCTTTAATGGTTCAGCGGTGATTCCATTAGCGATAAAGTACTGTTCCAGTCGTTCGCTATATACTGTCCAGTCACCATCGTGGTCAAATTCTGGCACTTGCACTCTTACACTAGTCGCCATCTTTTATTTTTCGTAGCCGTCCTTTTTTACTTTAATCCTCGTCGCCAAGTTGTAGTGTTTTAGGTCAGGAGTAACTTAAAACCTACTATGATTTATCGTACTCATATATTACGGGGAATGTCGCATACAAAGTTCATATAACATATCAACATTAACCGCAGACACGGAGAAGGGTCCGGCTCCATCACAGGCGAGGCAACCACCGACCCCCTACGTGAGGACGAATCCCCTCCTTCATCGCCGGTACCACGTGACCGCTTCCGCTGACGCAGCTACGTTTCCTGCTTTGTTGCCAACACACCACAATAAATAAGCTTAATGGCAGTTCGATAATCCTCCATTTTAAAATGTAGGTGTTGTAAGTGTCTATCGAGTCTCTTTAGATTAAAAATAAACCTTACTTTTTTATGCCTCTTCTGAAATAAAGAATGATAAGATATGAATTGTCTTGGGATGGGGTGTACTTTGGTTATAACTCCTTGTCTCAGCATTGTTTGAATACATTCCAATATTTGGCCCTGATCCTGACCCTTTACTGGGTTAGGTAATACCTTATTTCTTGATGGTTTTGTGACAAAAGGCAGTCTATATCCTTTTATCCATTTTAAAATTAATTAATTAAATTACTGGTAATTTTTTGCCATTCTTTAAAACAATTTTTCAAACTACCTGCTTGTGTACTTACCTCTAATGTCCTCTTTGCCTCGTGTAGTTTCTTATCTCCCTTCTGCTTTGGTCTGAGGTAGATGCCCTTTCTGTCTCACATTCCTCGGCATGTAAGATGGGCCCTTCCTGTTTAAAGACGTCGGCTGTTGTTTGAACCCATATTTGTTCCTATGGGTTATGTTAGTTTTTTGTTGGTTTATCGTTGTAGCTTTTAGTTCATTACTAGATTTTTGTATTTGTCTTAAGTTTTTATGTTTTTCACTGAATTCTTTTCCCAATAGATATTCATCAATTGGGGCCGAAAAAGCCGTTTCTTTGGCAGATTATGAAAGACATGGAGCTATGTTTGAACGTCTCTCTAGAGATGTCATATAATGAGTGTTTGCGAACATTTTGCTTACATCGCTCAAATGCTCCAAAATTAGGGTATTCTTACTTGAACCTCCTTTAAGTAGCTCATTCATTGCTGTTCCTAGCGCTGTCATGCCCGTACCTATATAATTTTGTATTTGTATCAATCTTCCTTCTCTCTTTTTATTTATTTCTGCTAGAAGGAGGCCTACCTCTGGATTGAGGTTAGGAGCTTTAAGAGCCAAACAATTTTCTGGTTTGGGATATTTCTTATTCAGTGCCTCTGCATTCTCCTTGTCCTCCCCATTCTGTAAAATATATTGCCGCCAAGAAGCAATAGCTGGGTGAAGTGTCTCACCGTCTTTCTCTTTTTCTGAGGGGTCTGTTCCCAAGCATTCTAAGGTTTCTGAATCTAACTTAATATCTAATACGGGCTCCATATTTTGGTTTTGTGAACTTATACCGCTTGGTGAACCCTCTCGTTCTGATCTAATCTGGCTACCGCCATATATTGATTCGATCGAGCTGTCCGAATTTTCTGGTGTCTATGTACCATATGCTTTATTATTCCTGTAGTTTGAGTCAGGTGCCCTCCTACTTGGACTGGCACTGTCTATTCCCCTCGATTGACTCCTTGGACTTCTTGATACATTTTTTGGACTACAAGACCGAGAAGTTTGGTGTCTCATTTCAGTTTTACTTGATCTTTTGGAAAACTTTCGTGATGTATCTGGATCTTCTGGGCTACGTGTTCGAGAGATTCTATTTTTTGTAACCGGACTACATGTCCGACTAACTTTATGTGACGTTTGTGGAGATCTACTTGATCTGCTGTGTTTACTGGTAACTACCGAACGACATGTCCGTATATTTTTATGTGGAGACCGCCATTTTTGTATTCTCAAACATTCCTCTAAAATTTGTATCCTTTTTTCTAGATTTCTGGCTCTCCCGGGGGAGGTCCCAGGAGATCTAGAATGGGATCTTTTCCGTGATTTGTGTGTTCCCATG